TTTGCTACCTCACACTCAGTCTGTTGCTGCTACTGCACCCACCAAGATTCATTTCAACCATTCTCTTTATTGCCTACAGTATCTTACTGCACTCATGCTTACTTCCCCAGTTCCCTCACACCACTAACCCTGCATGGCCTCTGCACTGCTGCCTCATTCCCTTGGAACACTGAACCACCTTTTCGACCTCATGCACCAGCACTAACAGCTGTGCCACCCACTTTCATTTCTCTCAATCGCCCCGTTTCTCTCAATCCAGGAGAAGATAGCCCACAATAGGGCAGCAAGTGTCTGGACAGATCTAGGGGTGCCTGATATCAGACTCTTCACCCCTTATTAGGATAGCATCCGGACCCTCACAGGAGAAGCCCAGGACAGCTCCTGCAGCGATGCTGAGACACCCAGATCCTGACAATCAGGCAAGTTCCATTTGTCATTCCACTGCAACTTTCACAGTAACCCTGCAATAACAGGGTTATCCATTGGAGACCACTTGAACCAGTAGGTGCAACATCATCTCTCTCTCTCTCTCTCTCTCTCTCTCTCTCTCTCTCGTGTCTTGTGGCTACCAGCAGGGTGTCCATGGCCTTGGAAAAGAAATAGGCTGCTCCACCAGAAGGTACCTTCTCGGCTTCTGATGAAGAGTGTTCAAGAGGCCTTAGAGGAAACACCCCCCACCAGTTAAGTACTGATACTTTGATCGGAACTTCAGCCTTTGGAAACACAAGCTGGTGAACATCTTACTGCGAGATCACCACAGCTGGCCAAGGAAGAAACAGCCCAGGCTGCTGGAAGCCAGGGAATTGCCGGAGACCAGGCACATGCTCAGCTCCAAGCAGGACAGGACCCTGTGGTGTCAGCAATCAGAGTCTTTCTGTGCATGCACTGGAAGGAACAGGAGCAGCCGACAAGAATGCAATGATCCTCATTTCCCAGAAGCTACATCAATGCAGCTGCTCTTGTGGACACAGCTGCCCTAAGCATGCAATTGTCTTGGATAGGCAGACGGCTGCCATGGAGAGCCAGGTCCAGCGCCCGTAGGGTCTCCTTGTGTCAGCATGACTCTTAATTCAAGTCCACATAGCATGTGCTCTGGATAGGTGTTGAGAGGCTGCTGTTGTATGTGGGAGCCAGATGAACAAGCCGTACATAGCGCTCTGAGTAATGCTGACACCACTTCCCTTCATGTTAAAACAATGCTGTTCTTTCCCTGCCCTCTGCATCCAAAAGTGCTGTGTGAACAAAGTGGTCAGAACGTCTGGAGCAGAGCAGTGGGCAGCACACAGGAAACCAATACAATAGGATCAGCAAAGATTAGCAACTCCACAGTTTATGTCCTTTGCTCTATGTGATGGTGTTTCCCTTTGCAGGGTTTCGTATCGGTGGGTCTTGAAAGCATCTCTCACACCCACAATTCAATACACTTACCCCATCCACTTCAGAAGAAGTTGACAGGTACCTGCTCTGACTTCCATGGTGAAACTGATTGACAGTTAGCTTATTCTCTTAGTTTGGTATGTTCGGAAGCTGAATAGGAAGTTGGGTTGTGCGATCTATAAATGTGTAATATTTTGAAATTCGCAAGGGATCTTCTTAAAAGATATTACTATGTTTTGTTAATGATCCTGTGAAATGCCTTATCATTGTTATTGCTGACTCCTCTTACATAGAATTATTTTCTTGAGGTATACATAGCATTTGGAACGTTGATTCGGATCATTCCTGGATAGAGAAACCAAGCATCAATAATTTAGTTTTGAGGTTTATCTTTATATTGAGTGCAGTCACAGGAATCAACCCAAAAATATCATGTTGAAAAAAAATCGTATCCTACCACTAATGTAGACTTCAGATGCAAATCTATCCTTCTTTCTTCCTCTTTCTTTTATCAGTTGGTTGCAGAATATCCATTGTCATTTAATTACGCCTGTCTCTTTGTACATACATAAAGACTTCTTTTTCCAGTTAGTCTCAGTGAGACAGAGACACGTGAAAGGAACAGAATGGATCTTTGGTCATGAGCAGGTTTTAACCTGAAGAATAGATCAGGTGCATTCGGGATACTTGGCTCATGTGTTTTATTTGACACAGTCCTATTAGCTTCAACTTCAAGTGCCTAGCAAATTCCATGTCTTTCTTGCCCACACTCCGTCCCCCTGTGGATGCTAGCTTGTTTTATCCAATATCACTCATGAGTCATTTAATACAGAGATACTGGGGATTTTTTGCTTATAATCTGTGGAATTCTGTTGAGGCTGGGTTGTCGATTATATTCAAGGCCAAGAAAGGCAAATTTTAATCATTAAGTGGAATGAATGTTTATGGAATTCAGACAGGAAAGAGGAGTTAAGGATTACCAGATCAGTCACAATCTATTTGAATGGTGGACCAAACGCGTTGGGCCAAATGGCCTCCTTTTGCTGCTAAAACTTATGGTCTTATTGGTTTCGGTCCTGAGTCCGTTTCTCCTTTTTACCATTTCACCAAATTAGAAAACCTTTTCCATACTGTCCACATTTAAAGCCGAGAAGATAAATTGGGCAGTGTCTGTTACAAATGCGATCCTCGTTTGTCTGCATTTTCTTGCTGTCTACCTACAAAACAATACATCATACCCAGGCCCTATAGAAAAGAAAAATGCAATCTTTCATGATTTGCCTTCTCTCTCATTCCTGCTTAAATTTGAAAACCCCTGGATGACCACTTGGATCAATTTGTTGAGGGGTGGAGATTAAAAGCTATAGGCTGATTCGCCTGGTATCTATTGTTGGAAAAGTATTGGAATCAATTATTAAGGAAGTAATTGCAGAATATTCGAAAATTTTGATCTAATCAAGCAGCGTCAGCACAGCTTCATTAAAGGGAAATCATGTCTTGCTGATTTATTAGAGATTTTTGAGGAAGTCTCAATCAGAGTGGATAGAGGGGAACCAGTAGATGTATTGTTTTTGGATTTCCAGAAGGTGTTCGACAAGGTGTTCGAAAAGTCATAAGGTAACAGTCCACAGTGTTGGATGTAGTATATTGGCATGAATGGAGAATTAGATCATGGGCAAGAAACAGCAAGTTCTTTTTCAGTTTGGCAACCTGTCAGTGGTTGGCAAGTAGAGTACAATGTGAAAATGTGAAGTTGTTCATTTTGGAAGGGAGAACAAAAGAACTGAATATTATTCAAATGGAGAAAAACTGCAAAAAGCTGCAACACAAAAGGGCTTGGGGATACTTTTGCATGAGACACAGAAAGCTAGCACAGAGGTGCAGCAGGTAATCAGAAGGCTAAGGGAATGTTGGCTCTTATTTCAAGGGAGTTGGAGTATAAGATTCGCGAAGTCTTACTGCAACGGTACAAGGTGCTGACGAGACCACATTTGGAATACTGTGAGAAATTTTGTTTGCCTTAGTATGATTTCATTGGCGGTAGTTCAGAGAAGGTTCACTAAAATGATCCATGGTATGAAGGGATTGGTTTATGAGTGAATTTTAAACAGTTTGGGACTCTACTGATTGGAGTTTAGAAGAATGAGAGGTGATCTCACTTAAGCACATATGATTCTTAAAGGCCTTGACAAGATAAATGCTCAGAGGATGTTTCCCCTCACGGAGGAATCTAGGGCCAGAAGGCATAATCCCAGAAATAAGGGGTGCCAATTGAAGACTGAGATGAGGAGAAATTTTTTTCTCAGATAGTTGTGAGTCTTTGGAACACCTTGCCACAGAGACCTGTGAGGGCAGAGTCTTTGTGTATATTTAAAACTGAGAGATAGATTCTTGATCAGTAGGGGAGTCAAGGGTTATGGAGAAAAGGCAGGAATGTGGACATGAGGAGTGTTGGATCAGCCATGAACCGATTGAATGGCAGAGCAGGCTCAAGGGGCTCAATAACCTACTCCTGTTCCTATTTCTTCAGGTTTTATGGTTTCAATGGAAAAATAGAAACAGATTTTCATTCCTATTCCCATAGCTCAATGCATTATACTTACTATTACTGCAGGAAATCTATTTTCATGGCTATTTTCTCTAATGTAGTGTTCAGAACTGAAGGCACTACAGCAGCTGAGCCTTATTCCATGTGTAAAACAAATTCAACTTTGCCTTCTCATTTCTTTATTCAATACCAGCCATGTATGAAAACCAAATACAGTTATGTTTTTCTGCCTACACTCACCCATCTGCTGGCTGTTTCTCCATTCCGTTAAGGGCTTTACTGGCTAAGACATACATATATTTCTAAAAAATGTATTTCTGATTTCTCCACAATGTCCTGCAACTGTCAATGATCTCTGCATCCCATTATGTTTAGATCCGGTGATCTTCATCATGTCATCATGTTGCTAATTTGATATGATCAATAAAATGTTATGTCATTCGTCTTGTAGCTAGATCCAAATTATTTCTGTAAATGGGAAATTGAGCAGTACCCACATTCAGCCAATCTGAATAACATCCATTTATCCCATTATTTTGTCCCATTGCATCAATATGTTGAACTGACATTCACCCTTCAATTTCTTGACCTTGACTAATCCTTGTCTGAAAGTCCATGTAAGTTCCATGATTTCTTTTGTATCGAACACAACCTGTGCTTCACAAAATCATACTAAATAATTCTGATTAGCTTGTGCCTTTCTATCACTAATTTCAGCTATTAGTGTGTACTTTGCTCCTTGGCTTGTAATTTCCTTCTTCATCCTTTTCCTTTTTGAACAAGGCAGTGAGACTTCTGACATTCCAGTTCTTCAATACAATTTCAATTTTCAGATTTTCAGAAAATTGTAGGCTAATTACTTTGCAATTTTCCTCACTAATTGGAAATACTTGGACTCCTTCTGTATCCCAGGCTGCACAGTAACCCATTTGACATGAGATAATATGAGTATTTGAATTATCCCTTTTCAACAGTTGTGAGCAGATTCTCAAAAGCAGTATGCTAAGAAACGTAACTCACCATAAAAACAACACAAAAAAACCTAAAATCTGAATGTTTCTTTCTCTCTGCTTAGACCTTGACTTAAGTTTTGGCGTGAATGGATTTCGAATCTCGAATCCACCCATTTTATTGGTTCGTTCACTACAAGCTAGCTTAGAGGTAAGTGCATTCGTCTGGTTGGGAATGAAAGATTTACATATGTAGGAATGATAGAGCAGAATCCGACTTTATTATTGTGCTGCCTAATTTGGCTTAACCTGACCATATTAGACATTTTTGCTCACCGACCGGAAATAAATATGATACTGGCAAAAGAAACTCTTTTGACCTTTAGCCCGCATTGAAAATGTCAAGGAATGAATTTGACATTTTACCACTGTAGTGAGTGGCATGAATTTTGCCAGGTGGATCTCAATGAGTATGAGTTCCCTAATTGTGGCTGTTAACCTGGGTCAACCAGGGAGGTCTGGCTCATAGATATAAACAGGAGTCTCCAGGATTTTCCTCACTCTGGGGACTGGCTCTGAGCCAGCTGGTCAGAGTCCATGTACTGTGCACAGGAGAATAAAGAGTGACTTGGTGATGGGATGCTGGTCTCCATGCAGATATTTCAGTAGCAACGAGAGAAACAGTCGGAACAGTCATCTTTGAGTTGGGGTATGCATTTCTGGCATAACGTCTTTATTTAGGAAGTCTGACTTATTCAATCCTGATGTCAAAGACTTGGCCTGGTAAATAGAAAGAATGTGTTATTTGTTCCAGGCAAATGAGACTGAGTTAGTTGAAAAGCAATGAATCAGTAAGAGTGTGGAATGCCCTGCCTGCAAAAGTAGTAGACTCGCCAAATTTAAGGGCATTTAAATGGTCATTGGATAAACATATGAATGATAATGGAATAGTGTAGGTTAGATGGCTTCAGATTGGTTTCACAGGTCAGCGCAACATCGAGGGCCAAAGGGCTTGTACTGCACTGTAATGTTCTATGTTCTATGTTCTATGTTCTAATTCTTCTGACTGCTTGTGGATCCACAGCATTTTTGGTTATCAGGAGACTAACGCCCTGAGGCACCAGATGCTAAAACTTTTCAAGTGTTGATACTTAAGGAATATTACAACCCCTACACTCCTCTAATCCTGAGACACTATTGGTTTTTGAGAACCAGGGGAATCCTTATCAGGATTTTTGACTAGCCTAAGGTGACTGGCAGAGGCATGTGATTTTGGGTTAATCCTGAATGAGATGATGAGAGACCATTTGGTATGTGGGATTAATGTGTAACTATGAAAAAGCCCAACATGCTTTCAAACAGGGGGCACTACAAATGGCTTTGTCACTAGAAAATGTGGCAAGTGGAGCATGTGAGGTACGGGCTATCCCAATGGAAGTGGAAACCCTCACTTGTCCAACTGAACTGGGGGAACACTACTTGAGTGTAAGCAATCACAGAGTCTCAAGCAGGACATACCGTGAGCAGAGGGACCCCACGTCAGCCCACAGCAAAACTTCAAAACAAAGCCACGCCTCAACCAAACGGCTAAAATATTCTTCAGGATCTGGGCCGGCAAGCCATCATAGTTGCTGCTGGTATGTGGACCCAAGACAGCAAAAGAGTCATATGAGGCCTGACTGGAGTAAGAAAAAGTATTCAGGAGAGGGCATACGTTGGAAAGTCCCACTTACATGTGATTTGGAACAGTTAAATTGCTTAGCAGCATCCAAATCAGAACCAATCAAAATAACCAAGCGGAGACTCGGGGACCGCTTTGCAGAAAACCAAGCGGAGACTCGGGGACCGCTTTGCAGAACACCTACGCTCGGTTCGCAACAAACAACTGCACCTCCCAGTCGCGAACCATTTCAACTCCCCCTCCCATTCCTCAGACGACATGTCCATCCTGGGCCTCCTGCAGTGCCACAACGATGCCACCCGAAGGTTGCAGGAACAGCAACTCATATTCCGCTTGGGAACCCTGCAGCCCAATGGTATCAATGTGGACTTCGCAAGCTTCAAAATCTCCCCTCCCCCCACCGCATCCCAAAACCAGTCCAGCTCGTCCCTGCCTCCCTAACCTGTTCTTCCTCCCACCTATCCCCTCCTCCCACCTCAAGCCGCACCTCCATCTCCTACCGACCAACCTCATCCCGCCCCCTTGACCTGTCCGTCCTCCCTGGACTGACCTATCCCCTTCCTAACTCCCTACCTACACTGACCTTTCCTGGCCCCATCCCCGCCTCTTCGACCTGTTTGTTTCCTCTCCACCTATCCTCTCCTCTATCCCTCTTCTATCCGCCTCCCACTCTCTCCCTATTTATTTCAAAACCCCCTTCCCCTCCCCCTTTTCTGATGAAGGGTCTAGGCCCGAAACGTCAGCCTCTCTGCTCCTATGATGCTGCTTGGCCTGCTGTGTTCATCCAGCCCTGCACCTTGTTGTCTCGGATTCTCCAGCATCTGCAGTTCCTACTATCTCTCAATCAAAATAAATGTCTGGTTAAATGGTGACCTGGTTCTAATGGAGGTTGACACTGGCACAGCTGTAACAGTCATTGCAGAACTAGTCTTTAACAGGATTCGCTATGGATTCCAACCCTAAAGTTTGTGCCAGATGTTGGCCAGACTGAGAACATACACTGAGGAACCATTACAGGTTAAGTGTACAATTTTGGTTCCGGTCTCCTATGAGAGGCAGTTGATGCAGTTATTACTGATAGTAATAAAAGGCTTGAGCCCAAGCTTGATAGGGTGGAATTGGAAGAGGGAGATTCACTTTGTTTGGCACGACATTTTTCGATTAGAAAATAGCATCCTGATTAAAGTTTTAATTAAATACATGAATGTTTTTCAGGGAAGTCTAGGGACTATCAAAGTGGCCAAAGCCCACCTACATGTTGACCAGGAAACAATTCAACAATTCTGCAAGGCCCACCCAGTACCATTTGCCTTATGTGCAAAAGTAGAGGCAGAAGTCAGGAGGCTGGAAAGTGAAGGAATCATCAAACCAGTCCAGTTTGTTGAATGGCAGCATCGATCATACCAATTGTGAAGCTTGATGGGTGGTTCACTTTCGTGGGCATTTTAAGCAAATGGTAAACTACCTTTCCCAGCTAGATAAATACCCATTCCCTTGCATAGAGGGCTTGGACATAAAACTGGTTGGGGGAGGGGGTGCTGTCCTTTACGAAGATAGACATGAGCCTTGCGTACCTGCAGTTACGACTAGATGAGGAGTTCCAGAGGTCTGCCACTTTTAACATACATATGGGTTTGTACAATATACAAGACTGCCATTTGTTGTATCATCAGCCTGTGCCATTTTCCGGTGGACGGTGAAGGATATTTTACAAGGTCTATCCTATACTGCCATTTATCTGGATGACCTGCCAGTAGCCATAGAGAATGGTGTATTATTATGGGGAACAAGATTGATTATCTCAATCATAAGTCACCGCCCAAACTGGCTGAACTCCACTAGGGCCATCCAGGGGTTGCCATAATGAAGATCTTGATGGGAAGTTATGTCTGGTGGCTAGGACTGGATGCAGACATAACTACATTGGTGGGACAGTGCCCGGAGTGCCAACAAGGACAAAAATTACTGCCAGTGGCTCCCCAACATTTGTGGGAATGGCCTGATAAACTCTGTACTCAGTTACATGTCAACTATGCTGGTCCTTTCATGGGGTCTATGTTTTTAATCATTATGGATGCCCATTTAAAATGGCTGGACACACATAGAGTTCATTCATCAAACATGGAAACGGTGATAGAAATACTGCAAGCATCTTTTGAAATACATAGACTTATGGAAGTTTTGGCCACGGACAATGGGACATCATTTACAAGCAGGGATTTTGAGTATTTCCGAAAGGCGGATGGCATTCAGCATGTTCGGACAGCTCCATACCATCCATTGTCCAATGATCTGGAGAAAAGAACAGTCCAAATGTTGAAGGCAGACTTAAAGAAACAGCCTACAGCTTTACTCGATACCAAACTGTCCCGGTTCCTGTTTGATTATAGAACCACCACTCATACAAATACAGGGATATCTCCATCAGAGTTGCTGATGGGGAGAAGAACTGGGGAGGAGGGTGAAACAGTGTTAGGAACATCAATCAATGAATCAATCAATCAACATCCTTGAAGAGAAAGAGACAGCTTGCTTCAGAGATGAAGTTTGATGTCAAAACTATGGAAATGGCCCTGCATTGATACAAGGCAGGGTCGACGCGAGGTCAGATCCTGTGACAAATAAAGTTTGTGGAGGAGATGTGGTCCTGAATAAGCATGTGCAACACATGAAAGCTGCAAGCTCGCAAACGGGTCAAGAGCAAAACATATCCAGCCCCTCTGAACAGCTGGAAAGGCTGTCATAAACAATGAGTTCTGTCCTTCTGTCTAGTGTCGAAGAAACCTCATAGTCTGACACGGATAGAACGAGGTCACAGCCTCAATACCATTACCACCTGATGAAGAGGAAGAATTTCTTCCCAGATGCTCCAGGTGCAAGAGACAGGCTACGGTCTGGTATTTGCTGCTTGTGTCCAAGTCAGCGTCATATCAATTGGAACTGGTGCAAAACTGTCCCTGGAGAAGCTACAAGAAAAAGAAACATCCCTAGACTTAGGCGGGGAGGGATGTAATGATTTGGACTGAGGATGGCCACATAGATCTCATGGAGTATGAAATCCCTGACTGAGGTTTACATGGGCCAATCAGGGAGTCCTGGCTGACAGATATAAACAGGAGTCTCAGGGATTCTCCTCACTCTCGGGACTGGCTCTGAGCTGGCTGGTCAGAGTCCATGTGCTGTGCATGTGTAAATAAAGGCTAACTTGGTGACAAGATACCAGCCTCCATACAGTTATTCCAGCCATGAACTGTTTTCTTTCCTTATTAAATCATCAAGGATGATTTAAAAAAAATCAATTTACAAAGTACCTTTTTCACAATCATTGTATATCCTAAAGTGTTTTTTTCTGAATATTGCTGAAGTGCAGTGATAATGTAGATATTTTCTAATCAACCAACTCAGAGATGTTATTATACACCACTGGAGCAGGTAGGATCTGAACCCAGGCCTCCTGGCTCAAAGGTAAGGACACTACCACTGCACCACAAGACCCTTGATTTTGGTACTGTAGGACATAGACAATTTGC